TTTCCAAGAGTTACTTTGTAGGAATTTGATTGGTTTCATGCTTGATCACGTGTTGATATCAGTTAGAGAACCATTAAAAACCACCCAGGAGTACTGGACAGCTATTTCCCCCCAGTTTGGGACTCATCATCAGTATGCACCCAATAAGGTACAAACCTAAGGCCTTACGGAAGAAGTTCATAAACCATTCAGTCACCAGGACGCTAGTCAATGACCCATGAATTCTAACTTCTATCAACTCATAATTTTACCGGAAGTTCCGGAGTTCCAACCCCAATGTATGTGTAATTTCGATGAGTCCCCAACTAGGACAAAATAAGTGTCCAGTGCTCCCTAGTGGTTTTCAGTGGTCTTCTAACTGGTATCAGTCTGTGATCAAACTTGGAACTAATCAAATCCCTGAAAACTAACTCTTGAAAGTTAATCTGATACTCACAAGTGATCGGCTGCAGGACGAAATTCCCTAGAGTGAGTTCTAATAAGAAGTCCTAATCAATGGGATCCATAGGGTCAGAAGTGAGGATAAATACTCGCCGATGTTATTGGCTGGTAGTTGTGCTAAAATCCCTAGTTTCATAATTATTTTATCACAAAAAATGGTGCGACTGTAGTTGATTTACACTTGACATTCAAGTCATTAACCAAATTCTTGTAGTTTTCATTTCACTTGTGTGTTGCGTTAAACTATTAGTTTGCAATGAATTCACTGAACCAAGGCATGTAGGACACATTTGCTTGAGTAAATAATTTTCAGCTTTTATTCAACTAACTAGAATTAAATATGCTGAGAGTATGCGTCTCAGGATTAATTTCTTGGCAGCTTCACAACAGTTAGTCATTTAGATGGTTTTAGAAGAGTTGCTACTTTACTTCATTTTTCTTTAAATATCAATTTCAGTGTCATTGTATGAAAAAACAACAGAAATTCATCGTGAATTAATGTCATTTGTAGAATTCTTAAAAACCCCCAGAGTTCTGACGAGCTATTCATGCCTAGCTTGGGACTCTTTAGAATTGCTTATTGGCTATTCCACGATGAAAAGAATTTAGAACTTTTATGTTACGGCATCAGCCTGATGACTAGTCATAAGTTCTGTCAATATGCGACCACAAATCAATGTCACCGACGTGGCTGACCCTGCCGATCACGAATTTGTATTACAGTTTCAACAGCTTCGTCGTCTAGTCATTAATGATGATCAGGAAATTCGGAATTTTGGGGTGCGTACCTCTTCATAGTGCGTCGGTGGCACAGTGGTTAGGACTCTCGCCGACCATGCACATGGTCCGGGGTTCGATCCCCTGCCGGCGCACACCCGATATCTATGGTCGGCCTGAATTTGGGCTACCGATATCCATGCTGGAAATTCCATACTTGTACTGAAAATACGGTGTGGAATCAAGCTGTAAATAAAAAAAAATAATAAAGTTATGAAGAATTTGTTGTCTAACAGTATGCAGTTTTCAGTGTTTCTTCAAGTGATGTCAGATCGTGACTAAAATGTATGCTGAAATTAATTAAAAATTCCCACAAATAGAAAACAGATTATCAGTTATTTGTTTCAGGTTCGACTAGGGATTGACATCAGTTAGAGAACCACTGAAGACCACCAGGGAGTACTGGACAGCTGTTTCATCCTAGTCTGGGACTCACCGGCAGTGCACACCCGCCAGGTTTTGAACCCAGAACCTTCTGATGAGTCCCATACTAGGATGAAACAGCTGTCCAGTACTCCCAGCTGGTTTTTCAATGGTTCTCCAACCGATATCAATCTAGGGTCTGTCCTGAAACAAACAGAATCCCTACGAACCAATTCTTGGAGATATCAGATATTTTCCAAAAAACAGTCAGGAGTAGATGACCATACTCATTCAAAGTTGGTGCTTATTCTTGGTCAGAAATGATACAGTGAAAGTTAGAAAATGGACTATAAGCTTCTAAACAAAGATTTGTGGCGGAGGTGTTTCTCACCAAAGTGAGAGGGCGAAAGCGGATGCCCGGCGCTCTTCACCGGGTTGACTGTCCATTGGATGACAGTCTAGGGGAGATGGCTAAACCCTAATTCCGAACCTCCAACGACTGGCGTATGAAGCTCACTGGAGCTCACCTGCAGACGTATGGACATCCTGGATGTCTGGCCCCATTCAAAAAGGCGTATGAACCAAACCCCGGTCAGCGGCTGCCAATGGATAGTGAACTCCCTACTCCACTCCTACTGCCTTGTAGGTCACACTTGGTTGTGTATAGGCTAGAGCTGCACTCTCAAACAAAAGGCCGAGCGATTCTGGGGACATCACTCGTACCAAATTCCCATGAAACTTCATGAACTCTCTGATGTTCATGAAGCCGGCTCATCCTCCCGTAGGAGATAGCCGAAGTAAAGTAAGTAAGTAAGAGAGAGTTTGAAGCCTAAAAACTCAGTCTGATTCAAAGAATATTTTATTTTAGTTTGCAAATATTTTGGGGAAATAGTTATATTCATATTATTTCATTCCAATAACAAGTGTCAGTTGATGAATCACTGAGATGTAGAACTTTCAGACGTCCACCTCTGAAAACGCTGTTAAGTTCCTCTTGTCTGCATTTCTTTCTTGAAAATTTTAAGGATAACCATAAAATGTCTAAAAATTTAACAGGATATGAGAAGTTTATTCAAATAATAAGTTAGCACAGAAGTTTATCACTACATTCACCATACCAGTGCTATCAGTCATAACAAATAATGCACTCAAATATATAAAATATGAGTCGTTAGTTCAGCAGTAGGATACTCACCAACCACGCACATGGTCTGGATTCAATTTCCTGCCGACGCACCCTTAGATCTCGCTTAGCTTACTGGCCGACAGAAAGCTCGGAAAAGAGGGGTGTTTTGGGATAGACCAGAAACCTCACCCCATGAAAAAGCATCGCCAGTGAAACTTTGGAGATTGGAGTCCTATATATATATATATATATATATATATATATATATATATATATAATTTTCAAGCGTTGGTTTATGGGGATTTGATTGGTTTAATGTTTGCCCGCAGATTGATGTCAGCTGGAGATTCATTTAAAATCAGAAAGTACTAAACAGCTGTTTCGCCATAGTTTGGGACTCTTCATCAGTAGGCACTCATAACCTGACAGGGTGTAACGACCAAAATCTACTTGTTGTAATCTGAATGCAGAAAACCGCTCTCTTTTATCTCAACGGGCTAACTAACCAGAACTTTTTGAGCTATAGGCAGTACAAAAATCTCCCAACGACAGTAAAAAACAGTTATTTGCAACAAAATCTGTGGTACTATTCAACAAAAAAATCACCTCAAAAATGTTACTAGGCAACTGTACAGATCAAATTAGACCTCAGACACAAACAAAAACTGTACAGCAGAACCACTTAACCAAAATCAACCGTAAGGAGTATCTGAGAATCAAGTAAAATATCGCCAACAAGGTGGGATCAAAACTCTATCAGCAAGAATTTATTTTTATTTTTTTTAATTTTTATTTTGATTACAGCTTGACGCCACATTGTATTTTCAGTACAAGTATGACATTTTCAGCATGGATATCGGTAGCCCAAATTTTGCAGGCCGACCATAGATATCGGGTGTGCGTCGGTAGGGGTTCGAACCCCGGACCACGTGCATAGTCGGCGAGAGTCCTAACCACTGTGCCACCGACGCACATGCCAAACAGTTCCCACCAACAGTTCAAGGCCAGAATGACCTTCACTTACTCAAATAAGACCGTAACCGTAAAACAACTCATTATCAGTGTCATCACACCAACACAAAGAGAAACATTGAAATTAGAGATTAAACAGGAACAAAGACAAGTAATAACCAGTAAATCAACAGATTATACGCGGGTATCAGAATTACGACATACAGTCTAGGAGAAGAAGGGATAATAAATGCAAAGTTAGTTGGTATGTTTAAATAAGTAGCAATATCATGAATAGATCCTTTGGGAGAGATTTTCCAAATAATTATTCCGTCACACAGGGTGTGAGAACAAATACTCACCGGTGACACTGGCTGTCAGTGACGCTGAAAATCGTGAGTTGACACAAGTTATAATTCATGGTCTATTGGATTCCATCCCAGTGGTTAGTTGGCCAACCAGCTCGTCTCGCAACCTGAAGGTCATAGGTTCGATTCCGATGGTTTTCTTACTTCTCAGACTTAAAATACAGAATAATTAAATAAGTAGTCAGGTAGTGATTTAAGTAACATAAATTTGTTGAAATATTATACAAACGGATGTATAATAAATAATCTCATCTCACTGCCAACTATACAAATTATAAATCTTTGATTGTACCTGGTGCTTATCCACTGCAGTGTGATGTGTATTGCAACGCCTTTCACTTGGATAACTAATTATTTGCCTTCATGATCGATAAATCTCTGTTATCTGGATCAATTTCAAGTGATGTTCTGTACTGTAAATATTAGATCTTCAATATGTGTACCTTCATGTTCTACCATCCAAAGCCTAATAATGTTGTTTAATTGTACGTTCAATAAATTTTGGTCAGACCTCTTTTCTACTTAACGGGCCAATTCCCTTAATTATAATCCACAGTTATCGTTAGAAAGAGAAAAAAAATAAAGTCACCCCTTATTCATTCTTATGAAATATCAAGTCACATGTATTGCTAATTCGACATACGGATTGGTTAAAAATAATATAGGCGGGTCAAGATAAATTTATGAGTTTCTGATTGGTTGTCGCCTTTCATTATAAACCAGTATAGTATGAGAAAGATAGATGAAAACAGCCTATCCGCTTAACCCATTGGTTACTTCATTCACCCCTTTTGTTAAAAACCTTTTTCTCTGTTTAACTGCATTAAGGCGGTGAAGGGAGGGGAGGGAGGTCAGAAAACTTTATATCGTGTATACGTGCGCATGAAAATAACATTCTGTAACAATATTCGATAATTGATCTAGATTTGGGCATCACTAGGATCCATTTTTGAACAATTAAATTCTGACGACAAGTTATTTGTTATATTGAACAATTATATTCAACCTAATTAATTTAATATATGATATTCTACAGTCGAACACACTGAAATAAACCCTATTGTTGTTAGTACTTGAGAAATGGAACTTGGGACTATCGGCCCAATTACATTGGATTCAACAACGAATTGTACTGATCTGCATAGAGGACAAAATAATTATCAGTCAAGTACACTAATGCAACGTGCTAATCTGAATACATGCAATATCAATCCAACAGTATGTGATTTCTATAATCATTCAGTTACACAACACTTAGATGCTATTCATATGGATACTGATAATAACAATACCATTATTACTACTACAAATACTACTAATAATAACAACAATAAAATGAAATACAATCAGTACACTTCAATTTCAGCGCCATCCACTTTCACTTGTACATTGAACAATAAATATTCAAACGATTTAAGTAATTTAACAAAACCCTTATCTAATCCAGTGTTATCAAATGATCGATTAACAGAATTAATAACTAATCGTCATCACGAGGATTCATCAACAGGAATTATGTCAGTTAACTGTTCTAATGATAAAGCGTTAATAATGAAACATTCAAATAAATCAACCAATCAGTATGATCAGTATACACTGATGAATAAATCGTTTCTTAATGATTACAACAATTTAACTAGTTTCACTGGAGTAAATCCTGTAACAACGAAAGGAACTACAACTGGAACTGCAAATGCAACCTCAGTTGCTATAACGACATCGGGAACAACACCAATTACTTCAGTGCATTCAATGAATAATGCACCAACGATTCCAGTGTCATCATCGTCATCATCTATGCCTACAACAGCAACAACAACAACATTATCGAACGTCACACAACAATCATTTGTCAAAGAGATAAGCAGAACACCATCTCCATCGACATTAACTGACAAGAAACAATATCAGTCAAATGAAATGGAATACGCCAAATTTTCAAACCTACTATCAGATAATCATCATATAGAGAAGAGTAATAAAAGTAATGAGAATAGCAGAAGTGACAACAATGAAAACTCTCCCAAATGTGAGCAAGAATTGTATACACAATCAAATACAAGTCAATCTATGCATACAAAATTATTATTACCATCAATGTTACCAAGTGGAGTTTTATCATCAGTATCGTCCTCATGTGTGTCATCCTCCTCCCCGTTATCATCTTCGTCACCTCTGTATCGATTAAATCAGTTGATAAGTACAAGTGAACCTTCATGTTATATGCGAGACGTATATACTCATAGGCTGATGAGTATTCCAGTGTCAACAACGCAAGCTGTAACAACAGGGACAAGTGGAGGAAACAGTAGTGAAGTAGGAGTGATAACATCAAATTCTACTGTCTGTCTAAAAAATTATTCTGAGGCTTCAACACCTTTAAATGCTTCATTTACAGTCAATAATAAAATATCTTTGACACAGGCATCAACATCAGTAGCAGCCTCATCGGTATTAAGTTATGGGAACAGTGTTAGCAACAATAATAATAATGTATTTCATTTACAAAATCCTAATTCTCTAACAGGCATAGAAAACTCGAAATTCTCAGTTCAATCACATTTAGAACAACTTCCATTACAGTCAATATGTACAACAACTAATGTTACTTATTCTACTCATATTACTTCTAGTCATACAACAAACAAAATTGGGTGTACATCAGTAATTCAATCAGAACAACAACAACAACCACAACGATCAATAGAAACCTTATCAACATTCTCTAATCCCTTATCTATGATGTATGAGAATATAAATATTAAAAATGCAATCAATAATACTTATCTTCAACATCATTATCATCAGAATCAGCTACAACAGAACCATCCGAATCAAATACAAAGGCATCAATTGAGTGGTGCATTGCCACCAGGACCACCTGGCCCACCACCAGCACTCCCACCCTCACAACAACAACAACAACAACAACTGAAAACACTCCTACCACCAATGCAAAATACAAATTTACACTTGTCTAATTTTCCATATTCATTCAACGGTAATAATACTATCCCTAGTAATAATAATAATACTAATAATAATAGCAACTGTAATACTTTACATATGCATAGTAACAGTATTAGTAACAATAATACCAATAGTCTCACTGACAGAATTAATGCCACATGTGATGAATTCTTGCCTTCAGAATGTCGGTCAACAAGTGCAGGTAAGACAATGGTGTCAGGGAATTTAGCCTTTTTAAATATGAAACACATGAATATATATGGCTTTTTTCCTTGGTTATTTTGATTATTTTCAATGAAGATTTTGTTAGGGACAAGAATCAGTCAGAGAATCAGTGAAAAACAGTGGGCAATGCATAGCTGTTGAGCTCTTGTTTAGTAGTGCGTATCGACACCTCTACGACTGATAAAGTTAGAATTCATGAGCTGGGCGAGCTCTGCCTGGGACTGTGAAAGTCTCAGGATCAATCCCTAGTGGTGTCGCGATCGCACACTAATCAGGAGGCTCAAACGAAGATGAAAAAGCTGTCAAATGCTCCCTGGTTTTCAGAGATTGTCTAGCTGACGTTTGTTCTTGCCATAATCTGCATTGATATATATAAACAGACTGAAATTTCAAAACCTAATTCCTAGTCAAGTTACTGATGAAAGTTGTAGGAATTAATGTAATAAATTACTAGTTTATTTTTATATGAGTAAAAGTTCAATGAATTTTTAAGGGAATTATACAATATTTTGAGAGAAATATTACTGTTAAGAAAGATTTTTCTATCAAAGAAGTCCCCAGTGCATATTATTTAAGATTCACTGAATTTTACATATTTTTGATTTGTACTCAGAATTAGTAGTAGTGGTAGTAGAGTTAAATTTGAGGACTTGAAGGCGAAAACCAATAAACTGGCTGAAGAATCAGGCGGACATCGAAGACAGGACTCCAGGTGATGAAGATAACCAACCAGCAGCAACAACATCACCATTAACGGGAGATATTTGACAGAGGTTACTTCCTTCACTTATCTAGGAAGCACTGTTTCAATCATATGCAGTCGGAACGGATGAAGGTGTCGAAGCCAGCCAGCCAGAATCGGAAAGGAGATGTACGCCTTCGTCAACCTGAAACCAGTTTGGTAATCTTCTGATTCATTCAGCCAGCATAAAGAACAAGATTCGGATTCTATTCAATGCAAATGTGAAGTCAGTCAGCCACGAAAAGGATTTCCAACAATGTGCTGGAGACATTTATCAACAGCTGCCCACTTTACTAGCTGGCTCCATACTGAAGATCAAATGGCCAGTCAGAAAGAATTAGTAACAAGAAACTCTGGCTGGCATCAAACCAACCAAGAGCCAGTCGCTCAACAAATATGCAGGGGAAAATGTAGATGGATCGGGTACATGTCAAGGAGGCCATCGAATGACATCGCGCGCAATTCATACCATGGCTTGAGGGGAATCCCATTGGGCGGCGACGAGTGGGTCGTCAGTGAGAGAGTGACATGGGGGAGATTGTCTTGGGCGGAGGAGATGATAGCTTATGGGCAATCGTGGACCCAGTTGAAGAGGACAGCAGAGAAGAGAACAAAGTGGAGAAGTCATGTGTTCCAGTCGGAACCCAAGGTAATAATAAAATAAGTAGTACAGTAGTACATGAATGGTAACGACTTCACCGTAAAACATTTTTGAGGTTATGTGGTATTTTTTGTGTATTTTGGATGAAGCATATATCACTTAAAATCGGCATCATACATTACTACGGATATTTATTTTGTTTCCTCGAGAAAAACAAGAAAACTAAGTTTAATGATAAATAAATGACGAATTATTTGTAAATAATAACTTCATTCGATTAAATGAAATTCAATCGTTCCTTTTTAAAATATGTTCATATTGTAAAGTGCATTTTATTTTGAATGACTGATACTCGGTGTGAAGAAGGCTTAACTTTTATAAGTGTTGCTCCCTGTCCAAGGATATCGGTGGCCACCAGCAACACAGGGGGTTCACTTCTCAGCCGACTCACTCGCAAACGTTGTTGAGCCTGTAGTAAACCTGAAAAGGAGGGAAGGTCGAAAGTGACACTAACAACACAACCTCGTAAGAACAACACTGCCGCTACTGAGACTTCAAAGTTTAAAGTTTTGTGTTTCATTCAGAACACAAAGAATGAAAACAGAATGAATGTCAAAAAGCACATATTACACGCGGCGGTGTAATAAATGAACATTTCACCAGTACAAAGAGTTTTCATTGACGTATTATGTAGTTTTTTCACATACATACATCATAATTCTCTAATAATGTAAATTATTTTCGACAAGTTAGATCGATAGACGCTTTCAGTGAAATATATATACTTTATGAAATCTTAGAAAGTAGGCTGTTATAAGATGTTTCCAGAACTGTGCTCCACTTCATGGAATTTAACAACTGAAGCGGAGTAAGCTCTTCAGAATGTTCATAGTTTCAATAAATAAAATGATACTGAAATTCTGGCTTTGTTATCGATCTCCAACGGGACCGAATTAATCTCTATAAATAATATTAAGTACTTGTAAGGATATCTTGATAATTCCTTTGGCCATCTTTAGATTCTACATTTCATTTTAGCTGTAACTGGAAGCAGGTTTAGGCATCCATTGACATATGAGTCTGTCCAACTAACTGAAGAGAATGACGGATATTTCATCCAATTTCCTAATAGACATTATCAATTATAAAAAGATTTATGCATAGTGATATCCTGTTAAACGTATGAGGCCATCTAGAAAATCTAAAAAAATAGATGGTGTTTATGGATGGCCTATTTAAGATTGGACTTTTTTATTGTGATTATTTAATTAAGATATTAGTTGTTTCTCGGATATTAAAATTTTATCTTTCATAATGTATATATATATATATATGTATATGTACATAGTGGCAGTAATAGAAGAGCTAATGAAAATCGAGTGGTACTGAAACTCTGCTATCTTGACAGTATTCCTCACTGAATACTTATTTTTATCCATGTGAGACCGAACCACTAATCATCAGATTAAATTCAAACCATGCCACCATTTTTCCTACCCTAATGGGGAACGACGGGTTTGACATCTGAGGGTGACATGTAGGAGATTGTGTAAGGTGGGAATCAAAGCTTATGGAAAAACGTGTAGCCCACTGAAAAGGACTCCAGAGTGCAATATGAAAAGGAGATAGTATTGCTAAAGTCGTATGCTCCACTAGTAACCCAAGGGAATAATAATAAGAATAAAAGGAAAAATCGAATAGTTATTACTTTGTTAATTCTTTTAATTTATGTTGTTGAGCAGCTACGATTAATCTATATCCATGGATCAGGGATTCATATTGGGGGTTCAGGAGATTTATGATGGTGTTCTGCACTAGTCTGCGTAGACTCATTTTCTGATTGAGTAATTTGTGAAAAAAATTCACCCTCTAAACAGTCATTTTAGCGTAAACTATCACTATATTCTATACTTTAACCAATAGCTAATTAATACCAGGGAAAAATGTATGAGATTATGCTTGGTGTTATTTCATCCAACTGCATCTATTAATAATTTTCGATAAGATATTGGGTTGATTTCCTGATTAGAACTGTTTTCCCATGGCTCCTCCGATCTCAATGTAGACGCAATGTCACATTACTACTTCTGAGTAAAGACTGCACTCAGTTAAAGTATACGTTCAACATTAGACTGTTTTACAGATTAATATGTTTCTATAGGAAGGTAATTTGGGAATTTGAAGTTACCTTTATTATTATGTCATATTTTATTAATTGTGTGTATCAATCGTTAAGTCGACACTAAATCATGTTATGAATAGTTACTTGAGGTATTTGAACCATTAAACAATTCAGACTTAAAGACATTCAATTTTAATTCCCCAATATTTTAACAGCTTGTTATAGACCTACCTACCTGACTTATTGTTCAGTTCGGGTACTCTCACTCAGTGGTGGTCAATGAGTACCACTTCTGTCACCTGCAGATGAAGAATGTGAGTAAAGCAAGAACAACAGTGTTTTATGCAGAATAATATGGTAGCATCATTTATTTCGTTGGTTTCTCATCATCTGCTTACAGTCTAAGTAAATTATTAAGTTTATGTACAGAAAATTGATTGATACGGGTCATGAGGTGGAAATCGCGAAATCCTTTAAAATTTTCAATAGACAAAAAGCTCAATTCTCCCCAAGTTTGCCGAAGCAGCAATCTCTACCAAACGCCTTAAACCCGATTTATTTGTTCAGAAAGGAGTAGTTATCAGTCTTTCCTTGTTCATCCTGGTAACTGGATGTCTTTATTCTCTCTTCCATTCGATTACGTAATCTTCGGCTTTAACCTCACTCCCCTCCCCACTTTGATACAATGTAATTTTGCTTATTTCTTGGTTCCATGATTCGAGTACATTGTTACCTAATTTACTTATCACTCATCATCTTACGCATCTCTCGTCTTTATTGAGTAACTCATTTACCATTCTATGCGTACATTTACTTCGTTTAAACTTGAACCTACCCGTGTAAAAACTAAATAAGCGTAATTATGTGAGCACTGTTCACTAATTCCGGAACCTCCTTTCAACTGACATCATGTAAAATTTGCAAGTATGTTAAAACTTTTTTGTACATGCACTTAATTATTTATTTAGACTGTAAGCAGATGATGAGAAGGCAACGAAATGAACAATGATGGTATCATATTATTCTGCATAAACCAGTTTTGTTCTTGCTTTATTCAAATTCATCAAGGGGAATAAATGTATGAAGGAGAAGAATATAGCAAAACAGCAACCCACGTTCGTATTAGCACAAACACTAATAAATAGCTTAGAAAGTCACAGTAAAGATAAATAGCTTGACTACCAAACTTCCAAATTATTAATGCAGTGTTCTATAAGCTGAGCTACAAAGCCCATTTGTAAAAATTGTACAGGATATATTTGCTCATGCTTTGTCTGCTTTTAATGATATTGTATTCCTACAAAAGTCAATAATTTGTGCTTCATGTCTTTAAATCTTAACAGTTAGGCTATTCACCCTATCAATATAATAGAATATAATATCGTATTAGATAACTTTATTCAGTATAGATAGAATAGGGAGATACGTCATCCAATTAATAAGCCTGTATCACTTTGTCCTATATCAAATATCTTTTTATGTAATACGGTTTATCCAAAACTGGAGTAACGCATAAACAACCAGGTTTAAATTTCTACCGGTTAGTGTAAATCCACAAACTGTTATGATAAGTGTGGAGACGTAACCTTAAAAACAGCTTTGAATGTTAAAAAGCCAACCTTATCCTTTCATCAAATACATGTACTTCAAAAGGTGAAAGCGAGGTTAGCGAAAGCTATATCGGTAATAAAATGAAAAATTAGTTGATTTGAGTGGATTAATGAGATACTAAGGAGAAAGAGGATAACTTCATATTCATACAAATACTTTCTGATTAGATTGTTAGGTCACTGTGGTTTCCATGCGTTTAGTCCTCAATCTCTCTGATTGAATCTTCTCAGTCAATCTGTTATGTGATCACCAACTTGGGTGACTTGCTATCATAATGTACTGAGAGTTAGTATGAAGTAATTGGAAGTAGACGATGAGAAATCTTGAACTTAGATTTTTGTACATACCAACGCTCCCCACCAAGGCCAAAGTGATATCTAGCAGGACATCGGACATGTGTCACTCAGACCCACGACTTCCTATCAACTATTTCCAACCACCTGGAATCCATTGAAAACCCACCATGACGATGTGACTGATAGGATGTAGTCAGTACAAAGTACTGGACGCTCCAGAGACTAACCACTCAAAATACATTCAGTCTTTAAATGAAGGGATTTGTTCCTAATACATATATTTCTTATATTTATTTATTTTTTATTTTTATTTATTATTATAGCTTGATTCCACACAGTATTTTGGTACAAGTATGAAATTTTCAGCATGTGATATCGGTAGCCCAAATTTAGCAGGCCGACCATAGATATCAGCTGTGCGTCGGCGTGGGATCGAACCTCGGACCATGTGCATGGTTGGCGAGAGTCCTAACCGCTGTGCCAATCCGCGAACACAGATCTCCTGGTTATTGCTATTCATTAATTCATTGTGTCAGTTTAAAGACTACGTATTTCTGTTTAAACTGTCTATGTCATAAGTGATCCCCCCTCCTTTATGATTAAATCAACTGCAGAGATATACAATTGAGTAATACCTGACATGGGCAGTATCCAGTGTTATCAAAAGTTTGTTTTCCCAGTGCTAAAACAGCTGATATACTTCCCTGTAATAATGCATTGTTGTCATATGAGTGGGCGTAACCATATACTTAACAATTAAATATTTAATCCGCTGCTCAGTGGTGTTAACTCCGACATAAACTCCCTCAAGTTTAAATTAGAAGATATGACAGAATCTAGTGAACCGTGAGATCACCTACTAAATGACGAAGTTTCAAATTCATTGTATGTTGGATCGTTTCGTATACTAATAGTTCTGATTTAAATCTCTGATCTGAACTGCTACAATATGGCAAACTAGAATGAAACAATTGTTCTTCTTTTCATAGTTTGCAATAAACTTTTAAATTACGTTGGTATGTGGAGAAATTTACCTTAATATACTGCTATATGCATTTATGATTCTGAGGTCTAAGTCAATTTCAATTTTTCCCCTTGACCGATTTGCCCGGAATGCTTAGGCCCAGTTGAAATGCTGGCTCCTAAATCAGACACTTCGACGATGCCAGAGGATTAGCATGAAGTAATTTGGTGGATGATGACTAGCCGCAAAATCGAAAGTGTGCACTTCGTCTTATCTGGAAATACTCGTCAGCCGGATGTCCCTGCATTCCCCAGTCAGTGATGGTGTTCTTACTGAGACTGAAACTCATTACCCATCGTTTCAAACGCCAAAGTGTTATCCACTAGACTACTTGGACCACAAGGGGCATCTATTGTGCAACAGGCACCTGTTTTTATTTGTTTGTGGGACCGAAATGTTCCCAAAATGTTTGGCATGTCGGCTCCTAGTAATTTTTCAGTTGTTGACGTGAAAAATTGTTTTTTCAACAGAATGTTTATTTAAAATTAGCTTAAACGTTGTTTTGTTCTCTTTTCTTTTTATTGTTTATTCCACTCTGATGTTTACAAACGGGAATCCACACACACATGCACACGTACATAAAAACCCACCTACATACATACAATTACATGTAAACATGACAAACCACTGCCTCAATTAAAAACTAGAAGTACGTTCAAGGAAAAAGCGTAAACCATATACACGTTATCAGACAATGGTTTTAGAAAATGAATTTATGGGCAATGCATATATTACTCGACAGAAACGATGGGAGATATCGTGTAAATTACATTTAACAGAAAGACAAGTAAGTCATCGTTAAATAATTCTTATGATTTTCATTGTTAATATTAAAAATTATGTATTGGATGACAAAATTTCATCTTTAATGATGATCTGGGGTGGTGGTGGTGGTGGTAAGAGAGCGCTAGGAAATGAGTAATCCGCATTAATCAGTATAAAACTTTCATTTACACAAGCTTGTTTTCTTATCTAACTTGGTGGATCCCACTGGTTACAACTTCTCATTAGAACACCCTAGTAGTTGTGCACTAGTGAAGAGTCCCAAACTAGGACGAAACAGTTGTTCAGTACTACCTAGTTTTCCAATGGTTCTCTAACCAAAGTAAGCTCATGATGAAATCCTGAAACCAATCAGATCCCTACAAACCAACACACATGAAAACTACAAACAATAGATTTTATGCTAAGAGCAATGCTGTCTGTGAACTCTGTGATTGGGAATCCAGAGTTCTCTACTTTCCCATCTCTTTTGTTAGCTCACGTGATATGATGGAGCAGTATAGTCAGTTTTATCAGCAAGCAGTCGTTTTTCACTTCCCGTTTTTACTTTAAATGGATTACAACCTTTCGTTTTAATTTTGGGAATTCCCTTTTCTTCTTTTCCAAGTCACTGATTATTATTATTTTCTAACGTTATTCCCTTGGGTTCCGAGTGAGACATAGGGCTTCAACAGCACATCGCTATTTCACCTTGTTCTGTGTAGCTCTTTTTAGTTGGCTGCATGATTGTGCATAAGTTTTTATTTCCTCCTGACAGGATCTCTTCCATCTCACCTTCGGACATATGCAAACTTGTCCTTCCCCAGTCGGGTTCCACTCGAGGGCATGGTGAACGATGTCCGAAATCTATCTCCATTTTCTTTCCTATATTTGTTGGGCAGTAGATTCTTGGTTGGTTTTCTGTTGCTAATAATTTCTGGCCATTTAATCTTCAGTGTCAAGCGAAGGCAACAGTTGCTAAAAGTCTGCAGCCTGTTGGGAATGCTTTTGGTTGAATGCCAAGCCTCTGAAACAAACAGAAACACTGTCTGACGTGGCATTGGTGTTGAAAATTAGAATCTTGTTCTTTATGCTGAATAGATTTATACGCTAATTTCATCATCCCCATCCATGTCGATTGTCTGTAGTTGAAACGATCATGTCTACATAAGTGGAAGGGATGACTTCCTTTAGATTTCTCCTGCTGATTGGTGCTTCTTGCTGTTAGTTGGTGGATATCTTCAGCACTTCTGTCTTCCCTGTGTTCACTTGAAGTACTGTCTTAGCTGCTTCTACTGTCTACTAGTTGGTATTCGCTTGTAATTCTTCCAGTTTGTGTGTCACCAGAGTCACTCACTAGTAAGAAATAAATAATTAATCATTACTTGACTGGTTTATACAAAAACATTATATATTTTTTCAGATTAGGCATAGTTTGGCAGTGACTTTTTTATTTTGAGATACTGTTGGATTGTAGATGTGTCATAATGTAAGTATAGAGTGTGGACACTGTGGTAGAATTTAATTCCATATTATATAAGTTTTTTATGTAGCACACGGTAGTACAGTATTAATAACTGAATGGCATTCTGAGAACAATTTATTGATCATTGTCATATGAATGTATTAACATGGCTTCATAATTTGCTTGATATATTTGCCCACCACCCCACCCCTGTTACTCATTGTAATTTTCCATATGTCCTGTATAGCTGTTGCATCGCTTCGACTGCACGCGTTCGGTGTTGATTAGCTGATCAAAGATTCGGTAATGAACATCTACCCCTCTCTCTCCAGCTAATTACATAACTTTTTAATACTTTCTCCCTGTCTTAGCTGATTGTATGATTGCACACAAGAGAATGTACTGCAATGGGAGAATTTTTTCCAGATTATTTAACTTAACAGGGTCACTTATTGTAGCTGTGGCTAAATTCCTATGTCCCGATAGTCTAATTGACTCCAATCTACTAGTCTGGCCTATACAACTGACCTCACTGCCGTTACATAGTATTTGGTAAATTAGATGATATCTCCTACTAAATGGATCTATCGGGTTCTTAAGTCGACGAAGTTTGTCTCTGAGTGAATTCTTTGGCTCAAATGATCTGTTACAGTATGAGAGCTTTCAAATACAGCATATACTTATCATGATAAATTCCTCACATACTTCCACAATAAGTATAATACTCATTCATTAGTAGTTTGGCTTAATGACTGACTACCTTCCAGCTTGATTTTTCACAATGTTAATTCAAAATCATGATCTGTATGGTTAGGTCACTTAAGCAATGTAATCAATTAAAAACGCCCATTACATTGGATGGTCGAAAGTTGTAAGATTCTAATTTAAAAGTTAAGTGGTAACATGTTCACCATAAGATACAATCGTCATAAAATTTATCACTCACGATTGTTAGTTGATCCCCACCAATAAATATCTCTTGATTTCGATTGATATTCTAAAATAATATCGATTAGTTAGTTAATACTACTGATTAATATGAGTGGTTTTCAGCTAATCACAATAATCAGTAGTGTGTACACTGTCCGCTTATCTTTGAAAGGGGATATAATCAGTAATGTTAAAAAATGAAGAGGATGACCTAGAAAATTCGGTAAATGGATAATAAATGAAGTGAATGAGTATAAGTAAAATGAGCCATTTCAGATTATTGTCAATGTAACGAATGAAGTGTTTAGTTTTCGGCTTCAGTCAGACAAATACTTTCTCAATAATACTCATCTTTATCAAATACTGGTATTAAAACTTATGCAGATACGTTGAATGTCTCATTTGAATGGATTAGTAGCTAACTGCACTTCCATCTTATCACTAGTATCCCCATGATAATGGAGACAATATTTACTGCTATAATAACCTCTACTACACAAAATAACTTGGAAGATCTGGACTTCGCCGATGATATATGTCTGATTTCCCACAAACTGGAAGATATGTAAGCGAAAAGCAATAAGTTGGCAGAAGAAGCATCTAGAGAGGATAGGACCTCAGGTGAACATAGAGAAAACAGAGGTGATGAAGATTCCTGGACAACACCAACAGCAACAACAACAGAAAACAATCAGCAACCTCCTTTACCTACCTATTTACCTGGGAAGCATTGCATCAACTACAGGCGGATGGAACTGATGAGGATATCAAAGCGAGGATCAGGAAAGCAAGGCAAGCTTTCAATACCCTCAAGTTTGTGTGAAGATCAACACCACTCAGCATGAAAATGAAAACAAGATCCGGATTTTCAACTCCAGTGGGAAGTCAGTGCTACTTACTATGCGCATCAGAGACGGCACGTGACGAAGGGCACTTCGAACAAACTACAGACTATCATCAACAGCTGTCTTTGCTCTATACTTCACTCAAGATCAGATGGCCAGCCATAAAAAAATCAGTAACAGGGATCTCTTGGAACAAACGAACCAACCCAGCAGGAACCTATTGTGCAACAAGTATGCAGGAAGAAATGGAGGTGGATTGACCATACTCTGAGAAAACCAAGCGACAAGTGATATCACACGCCAGCCCCCCACACGAGTGGAACCCGAATGGGAAGCGGTGAGTTGGTCGTCAGTGCGAGGGTGACATGGAGGAGGAGGTGATGTGAAGAGGAGATGAAAGCATGTGGGCAGACGTGGAGCCAGGTGAAAAGGTTGGCGGAGAACCGAACGCAGTGGAGACGTGCGGCTGAAGCCCTATGTTCCTCTAGGAATTATAGGAAACAATAATAATAATATTGATGATTGGTCGAAGGCAATCGGTAGGAATCGCTAGACCTTGGCTTTGTGCCAACTGACACTCGTTAACAAGATGTATTTACAATTTCGAAGGAACTGATGTTCTCTTGGAAATTCAAACCCACATCCTTCAGCACTGCAGTCGAAAACATTATCGTGGAATTATTTGATGAAGAAAAGTCAGATCATGGTTACCTTCTGATTGTCCCTTATCACATCACATCAATTCAAAATGCACCATGATTGCTAGACACCTAGTTTGGGAATAAAATTATAAAGCTAGCCAACAAAATCCAGTCAGTATCAGCACATGATACTCGTCACTTCCTACTGACCAGTGAATGCAAAAACCGTTGTGTCCCATTGAAATCTCACAAACATTTGCTAAAATAAACATAAGTTTTCTTACCATCTCAGTACTATTTCTGTTAAGACTGATGGATTCACTTAGTGGATAGTGACTAGAGATTTGAATAGATAGGTTATGTACTAGAAGCTCACTGGTAACTCTATTGATTCAGCAGGTAAATGGTTTATACTTTTCTGCGTGAGACTAGATGCGTAGGTGGTTCAGTAGTAGAATGATTGCAAACCACCCACTTGGTTCAGGTACCATTTCGGACCGATGCACTTCCAAACCTCGCTTAACCAGTAGTAAGCTCCGTAAAGAAGGAAAGTTAGATGTGATGCTAGCAATCCCACCCCATAAAAACAACCCTACTGCTACTGAAGCTTTAGGGCAGAAGCATGAAGGCCTGTGTTCTACTCTGAATGAAAAGGGATTTTTTAAAAAGACTACATTCAAACTGTTTTCTTTTAGCTATCCTTTCAGTTATCAATTATTCTGCTTAATTTTTGAAATATTCAACTCTTCAGCTATCACTGTGCTACTTATTCACCTTCTTCGTGGTAGTGCTGTTGCAATGGATGTAAAGGTGAAGAGTATAAACGAATGGGTGAAACACTGTAAGGTTATTATTTGTATTCCAGATAGATATTCTCAAGTTCTTCAAGCTGTGTGTCGGTGGCACAGTGGTTAGGACTCTCACCGACCATGCACATGGTCCCGGGTTCGATCACCTGCCGACACACATATGATATCTATGGTCGGCCTGCAAAAATTTGGGCTACCGATATCACATGCTGAAAATTCCATACCTGTACCAAAAAAATACGGTGTGGAATCAAGTTGTAATCAGAAATAAAAATAAAATAATCCGCTAATTATATCAGGCATGTAGTCAATGTGTCCTAAATTGCAAGAGATTT